CCTCCACTGCTGCCTCCTGACCCATCCTGACCAAGAGGCCCTGAGTCATGTGCCCTGCATTCTGAGTCTACAGATCTGTAAGAATAAACTTCCTTCATGGTAAGCATTTTCAGGTCTGTGTGTGCTACCGCACCAGATCAACCAGTTCGTGGGTACAGGAATTCTTTTCCAACCGCCTGGGTGGTCCGAGGCACCACGGCATCCCCATTTCTCTCTGCCTCCTCTCATTATCACTCAAACCCCTGCAGATGCAGCTCTGGCCCCATTCTTGCCCCCCTGCGGGCTCCCAGTGCTCTCCCCCTTAAGTTTCTTTGTCCTAGGTGTTCTCTGTGTGCCACACTGTTCCCTCAGATGGCCACCCTGTGACTCCTTCCCTCCTCAAAGTCTGTGCTCAGGTAATAAATGTCTCATTAGACTTTTCCCAACCATGTTGCATAGTGCTGCAAAACTGCTTTCATTCTACCCTCCCACGATTTCTCACCTGCTCTACATTTTCCTATTTCCACAGCACTCCCTCCTTCCGACCTATATTGTTCAGGCTTTTCATTGTTCGTGTTTTTAAACTGCTGGTTGTTAGAAGAGGAATGCATTCTTTTTTGGTACACATATGTTCTCATTGTGTAGGGCAGTCCCTGTCCAAAAAATGGACACTCAATATTGATCAAATATATGTCTGTAAATTTTCAAATCGTTATGCGTGACAAAAGAGAGAAGAGTGACATTGGGGTGGAGAACTACTTCAAAATTGAGAGCTATGGGGAAACCTCTATGAGGAGGTAATGGGTGACATGAACCAAGTCTCATCACCCTGGACCACGAGTCTACAATCCAGGTGTGAGTCAACACTATATCCTTCACAGCATTTTGCAAAGCGTCTTTCCTCAGCTTCTTCGGAAAGTACCTGCAGAGCGAATGTTGAGTGGACTTTACCATTAGGCTACTAAATGCTCCTGGTCCCTTGGCACCATTGTTAGGGCTGCTGGTTGTTGGCTACTCGTTCCCGGTCTCTGCTCCCAGGGACTAGCCCGTGACTCGCAGGGAACTATAGTTTCGGGGTAAGAGTTATTGTTTGGGATTAAGATACGTTTGTGCTTCCGGGGCGCCTGGGTGGCTCAGTCAGTTAAGCGTCCAACTTCGGCTCAGGTCAGGATCTTGCGGTCTGTGAGTTCAAGCCCCCACGTCTGGCTCTGCCAGCAGCTCAGAGCCTGGAGCCTGCTTTGGATTCTGTGTCTCCCTCTTCTCTGTCCCTCTTGCACCCACGCTCTCTCTCAAAAATAAATAATCGTTGAAAAAAAATAAAAAATGTTTGTCCTCCTGGTTTCAAGAGGACCCGAGAGATTCTACAAGGAATGGGACGAAGAGCTGACTGGAGCGGACACCTGTCAGAGGACGATTCCCCCTAAAGTGACAGGGGACAAACACGAAGCAGATGGCAGAAGTCCAGGGGCATGACATGTAACACATTCATGGCCAGAGAGAATCTGGGAGGTGGTGAGTTTTTCCCCTGACAGAGAGCTGCAGAGAGCATTCATGGGGTTCGAGGACAAAGTTCCAGAACTGCTTCCAGCAAAGTTCTAGGGCAAATTGCTCCACAGCCTGAACCAAAAGTATTCAAGCTTCTTGGATTCCTGCAGTGTTGGATATTTGTTCTTCCCCAGGCCAGCTACTCCCAAATTTCTCTTCCCAGGTTCTCTGCTTTCCCTGAGCATAATTACTGAGCCAGCGCTCTTGAACTGGGAGTGGGGACAATGACCCACTTCTCTCTGACACCCCCATTTGGGGAGCTGAAGGAACAGTGGGGTGGGTGGGAAATAGCCTCAAGTCTTTTCAGTTGCCCTCTCAGAGTGCGGAAATCCTTCCTTTCAGTTGGGACACAAATGATAGTGTACCAGTCCTCTCAGAAGCATGGTGCCCAAGGTGGAGCCTTCAGCCCAGAAGTGGCAGCTTGGCAGAGACCTCTGGAACCGTACTGGGCAGGAACTTCACCTTGGCAACAAGTAGCTGGGGGCAAGATGAGAAATGCTGACGTCCTGGCCCTCCTGGGAAGGTAACTCTCCAACTGGGAGCTGGCAGGGAGGGGTCCTGCACTCTCATCTGCACCACTGTGTAGTGGATTCTCCATCTCCCTGAACTGAGAAGGTTGAAGAATGAATGTCTCAGTTCAAATACTGCAGACTCTCACTGTTTTTACAGTATTATAGATCATCTTGAATACATGTTCTTCATTTGTTGTATAACCCTATTGTTGTACATCCATTTCCAGACTCTTAAATCTTGTTTGTTTTGTTTTTTGCTTACTTGTCTTAAATTTTTTTTTCACCAGTTTCACTAGGGAATAAGTCCACGTAACTACTCATGTTGTCAAGCTAGAAGTCCCTCCTTGCTCTTTTTTAGTTTAAATTTTTATTTTTAAACAATTTTAGATTTCTGCAAAGTGGCAAATATGTATTTCACACTATATATAACTTCCACCCAGCTTCACCTCATGTATTATACAGATATATGGTACATTTGTCAATGTTAGGAAATTGACATTGATATTACATTGTTTACCAACTATTGGCATTTTTCCAATCTTTTCCCCCAATAATGTCCTTGTGTTGCAAGATCCCATTCCAGGACATCAAGTTGCACTTAATCATCTTACCTCTTTAGTCTTCTCTCATCTCTGATCATTGCTTTGTTACTCTTGTTTTTCATGATCCAAGCACTTTTGATGAGTATTCATTGAGTACTATATACAGTATTCCTCAATTTGCACTTATTCGATTTTTTTGTCAGTAAAATGGTGGGTTTGGGGAAGGACATCACAGTAGTGAACAGTTCTGTTGATTTGTACTATGTGGGACATGGTGTCAACAGGACATTACTAATGCTGCTAACCTTGATCACTCGGTAAGGGTAGTGTCTACCCATTTCCTCTGCTGTCAAGTTACCCTTTTCCTCTTTCCCTGTTTAGTCACTAAGTCCAGCCACCTGAAATTCAAGGGAATCAAGCTCCACCACCCGAAATAGACTCTCTATGTATTACTTAGAATTCTGTAGGAAGGTTTCTCTTATCTCCCTGTATTCATCTATGTAAGAGCACTATTCTTGTTTCCTTAAAAAACAAATAAAAAGAAGTACTTATAAGAAATATGTGTGTTGGGGTGCCTGGGTAGTTCAGTCAGTTACCTCTCTGACTCGATTTTGGCTCAGGTCATGATCTCTCAGTGAGTTCAAGCCTTGCACTGGGCTCTCTGCTAACAGCAAGGAGAGTGTTTGGGATTCTCTCTCTTTCTCCTCCCCTGCTTGCTCTGTCTCTCTCTCTCTCTCAAAAATAAACAAACACTTAAAAAGAAAAAAAATCTGTGTGTATGATTCCCTTTTATATGCATGGGGGGAAAAGAATGTGGAAGTCTACTCCTTGGTGATGTGTAGTAGTTGTGAAAGAACAGCAGGGTCAAATGCACACCCTGTTTCCATTTTTATAACTGTATGTACATTGGAAGCTGTGTTTTATTTTCTCACCTTGTCATGAGAAGAACCCCCACAAATAACCAACGATGACTTGCAAGGATTTTTGTAATATATTCTCAAAGGATTGTTGGGATTCCTAACATGACTGTTGGTATCTTGTCTGCACCTACTTAATGCCGGGTTGGTTCAGGTTTCGCTCCTGCCCGATCCTTACTCCATCTATTCTCAGGCTTTTCTTAAGACTGGAGAGAACCGTGTTCCCAAACAGCTCCCGAATTTGCAGATCCACGCACAACCCCTGGGCCAGCGTTCAGACAGGGGTCAAAGTGCCAGTGCTCGAGTCCTCAGCCCAACCCCCCCCAGCCTCTCTCACCAGCGAGCATCAAGGCCCAGCACCACGTGCAGCTGGAGCTGGACCAGATACGGCGAGGGGCCAGGCGGTGCGCATGTGTCACGTAGGAGGGCGGGCTTCCGTCGTCTGCGTCTGGCTCTTGCTCTTCTTACCGCTCAGGTGTGCGGCTCCCCTCGAGGAGGATTGCGAGGAGGTGAGGCGCACGAAGAAGTCACGAGCCTAACTGAGGGCCTGGTTCCCCAACGTGACACGTGCCCCGACCCTGGAGGACGTCCCCGCCTCCGGAGCCTCGATTTTCCCGGGCATGTGATGGACCGTGTCGTGCCCGCCCCTGGCCTGAAGAGCCTAAAATTAAGTCCTCCATTAAGAGCAACCTCGGGCTGCACGTAGCCCCAGTTCCCGGAAAAGACTCAGATTGTTCAAGGCTAAAGCCATCCTCGGACCGCCCTCAGATCAGCTAAGCAAAAAAACATTCCTATGGTCTGAGTCAAGGCTGGGAACTGCAGTTATTTTATACAAACAAGCCAATTTCTCACCGCTTGCCTGAACCCAGCGTGGGCCCTTTGAACTCACCTCATAATTGGTCATTTTCAAAGGATTCTCAAAAGTTGCGATTGGGTCCCACCAAAAGTAACGAACACCTCACAGATACTGAATGGTCAAAGCTGTTACCATGGGTGCTGTACAATTGTAATTGGTGCTTATGTGATGATGCTAAAAGTACTGTAACACCCCCATCACTTACCCCTTAAAAACCCTGCTCGCTATTGTTCTTCACTTCACCTTGCTGCCACTACATCGGTAGGCGGGTGAGCCCCTGCTCCAGCTTGTAATAAAGACCCTTTTGTACTTGCATCGGTGTCGGCTCCTTGGGGGTCTCAGGGGACTCGTGAATCCGGCACAATAGGCCCCACTGTGAAGGTGCAGGTCTGAGGCCTAACTCGGTCTCGCGCATTCTTCCACTGAAGGAAACAGGCTCCGGAAGCTACCCCGCCGCTGCTGGTTTTAGGGACAAAACCACATTACCCAGAAGACTGTGCACCGCGTGTCTGCGCGCGCTGGGCCAATGACAGCCCAGAACAGAGATATTTCCTGCGGCTCGCGCCGCCAGGGGCGGGACTTCCGGTCCCTTGGAAGCTTACGTCATCCGCCTGTGCCGGGCAGGTCTTCCCCAAGAGCGTCCGTGTGCCGGGCGCCTTTATGAGGCGCGAGCAGAGAAGGCGGTGAGGAGCCTAGGCCCTATCTCCACGTACTTGTACGAGCCTGACACCCGCCCCTCATCCTCCGTAACGGATTGTCACGTGAGCGCCGCTGGAGTCTCCGGCCGGGGTCCCTGCAGCCCTGACTGCGACGCCCTGGGCCTCGAGTGCGTTTCACTGCGGGGAGACTGAGGCCGGGAGTGGACCGTCAGCCAAGGTCGCCCCGCTCTGGGGCCCCTCGGCCGCCGACTCCCCGCCCCCCCACTCCCCCGTCCCCCGTCCCCGCTCTGTGCACAGGGTCCCGCGATGGCGGCGGCGTGGATGGCCCCTGCGCGGGTGAGTGGACGACGCGGTGGGCATTGCCTCCTCTCTGCTGCGGAGAGGACTCCTGGGCAGCCGGATGCCAGGAAGCTGTTCGCTTCCCTTTTCTCCTTGTCGTTTGTGTACAGCACGCGGCGCTGGCTTGTCACTTTATTACCCGTAGTCCCGCGCCAGTGCTCGAGCTCCGACCGGTGTTCGGTCAGTGCCTGGAGGGTGAAAGGCGGTGCTTCCTTCCATCCGTCACTCACAGATCCCGCCCGCGCCGGGACCTGCAGGTGCCCACCTAGACCTCCCGCCGACCTCCTGGGACCTTGCCTTCCGCCCTGGGGCGCTGTTCTCCCGACCCGCCAGCCTCACCGTGCTGAGTTCTCTTTCATCTCCAGCCTTTGTCCTTGCCCTGCCCCCCGCCCGCGATTCTGCCCCTGTAATTCGCGGCGGCCGGAGGGGGCGGGGGAGCTTCCTCTCACATCCTTCTGGCCTCTGCTCAGATGTCAGGCATTTGGACAGAACTTTCCCAGCAGTTCAGGCTGAAGTGACCCCTTCCCTGCTAGCCCATCAGCTGGCATTTTTCTGTAGGGAACCTGGCAAAATTCAGTAAGCGTCCCTGGTTGAATTTGTCAGGGATGTTGTGGGAGCAAAGAGAAGACAGTGGCAGAGGAACCGTGATCGCTGGCCTGCCTTAGGTTTTGCTGTGGGCTGACGGGCAGGCCTAACGTTTCACGCCTTTTCATCCTCACCTCTGCTGAGTTAAGTTCTGTTATTACTGCTGTTTTGCACTAGAACAACTTGAGGCTCAGAGAGGTCAGTTATCTGCCCAAATTCACTACCCCCCCCCCCCCCCCTTTTTTTTTTTTAATGTTTTATTTATGTTTGAGACAGTGAGTGCGAGCAGGGGAGGAGGGACAGAGGATCTGAAGTGAGCTCATGCTGACGACAGCAAGCCCAATGCAGGGCTGAAACTCACAAACTGAGATCATGACCTGAGCCGGTCAGACGCTCAACCAGCAAGCCCCCAGGCGCCCCTCACTCCAGCTCTTAAGTAGCAGAAACAACCAGTGTGTTGGCCACCACAGCCTGTATTTGTACCCTCTTCTCTGCAAAAAGCAGATAGGGATACCTGGCGGTGACCCCAAAACATCGCAAGCCAAGCAGGCTTCCTTGGAGTAGACAGTCTTGGGTGGGAGATGGGGATGTGCCATTTGAGCAGGTGGAAGTGTGTGGACAAAAAGAATATTGTTTATTTCAGGAGTCCCCAGGGGACCTGTGTGATTTCCAGGGCCTCCCCTCCCCATCTGCTGAGACATGCTGGGAGGGCCAGACTCTGGTCATTTGCTGAATCATACACTCTGCCGGGACAGACACTGTGGCAAATCAAAGGTTGTTGTCGTGGCCGCAGCCTGCATTGTCCTCAGCAGCTTCCGTTCTCTGGGCCTGAAGTACTCTTTCCTCAGGGATAAGTGCTGTGAAGACCCAGGTAGGCGGGTTTGAGTTTCGGCAGAGTCACCAGAGGAACGAAAAAAAGACTCCAGAAGGAAAAAGAACTAGTGGCTCATTGTGGATTCTCCCTGCAGTCTGAGGAGCAGAAGGCAGTGGCACCTGATCCAGGCCTGGCCACTTCCCAGGCAGTTGCCACCACCGCAGGTGGCTGTCCAGGAAGGTGGCTGATGATGAGTTCGCTCCTCTGCCCACATCCACCAACTTATGTTTGATGTTGGCTGAAATAACGTGACTGGGATATTTATGTGAAATGCTTCACGTCTTCATTAACTCCTTTGCTAATGGAGGAGTGTCAAGATTATGCAATTAGACCCTAGACCAGAGGGACCTCGGTTCAAATCCTGCCTCTTCTCATACCGTGTGTAAACTTTGGACCCTGATGACTGGCATGAAGGTGATAATGATACTGACTTCAGGCTGTGGCCAGTCATCCCAGGGTTTCTTTTACAAATATTTTTTTCTTTAATTCTCGAAACTCTTACCATCCAGTGAGAATTACTGTATTAATCCAGGAATTGAGGCTCGGAGAGATGAAATGGGGCTCCCAAGTTCACATGCCAGGCAAGTGTTGATTTTAAGAGGATTCACACCCCAGGAGTATAACTTTTGTTCCCTTTGAGGAGACAGGTAGAGCCTCCACACAGGCAGGCACTCCGTGAAGACCACTGCATCTCGGGGTTGTTCTGTAATCATCATTACTGCTGTTTTCATTACTCTGTTCCATCCTCTGGCATCTTAGGGCCCTTACCATGCTGTGCTTCACAGTCCCCGCAGGAAGGCCCTCACCTCGGGTCCTTCTCCCCTTGACTCGCACGGGGGAGGCTCCTGTCTCCTGCGCTGCTGTAATCGAGGCAAAGCAGGATCGCAACGTCCTTGGGGCCAGCATAGAGCTCAGCCCTCAGCGGGCGTATGGTCTCTCTGGTGCCTTGCCATCGAGAGAGGTGGGTTCTGGTTCCCATCACGAGCCCCAGGGCAAACATAGCTGCCTCTGTTTGACTTTTCAGATGCCTTTGACCTTTGACGACGTCGCCATCACTTTTACTGAAGAGGAGTGGGGGCAGCTGGAGCCGGCCCAGAGGACCCTGTACCAGGAGGTGATGCTGGAGACCTGCAGGCTCCTGGTCTCCCTGGGTGAGGCGTCCCTCGTTCTGCCGTGTGGGAGACCTGTCACCTCCTCCGTTCTACTCTCACGCTGCAGGCCCGGCCGGTCGAGAAGGCCTCGGTAGCCTGCCTCCCTCCTCCGCAAGCTTCACTGATTTTCTAGACTCCTGTCTTCCTGCCTGTTCTCCTGTGTGGGAGGGAGGGTTAGGCAAGGACATAGTTTGCTTTTGGTCACAGCCAAAGAAGCGTGTGTTGGGAGGACATGGGGTGTCTCACAGAACCCAAAGGAAGGAACGCCAGCTGGGCCTCTTGAGTTCCTGATCCAGGAACCTCCAGAAGCACGATTATGCCCGGGCTTCCAGGGCTTTCGTCCCGACTCTCTCTGTAGGTTTGCGTGTGTCTCTGTCTTTTCACAGTGACTTTTTCTGCCACAGCTGTTTTACAGCAGGAAGCGGTCGCCCTTGCTGTGTGAGGCCCCGTGCTCCGTCTGTCCTCTCCCTGTATGCTCTTCGATCGTTTCATTCTCCCGACACGCCGTCCTCGGCGAGCATGGAAATAGGGCCACTGCCCCGCGTCCCTCTAAAGCTTAATCCGTTCAGTTTAAAAGATATCTCGTCATTGTGAAAAGCTCTCCTGCATTTTTTTTAACAGTTTATTGTCAAGTTGGTTTCCATATAACACCCAGTGCTCATCCCTACAAGTGCCCTCCTCCATGCCCATCTCCCCCCACCCCCCATCAGTCCTCAGTTTGTTCTCAGCATTCAAGAGTCTCTCATGATTTGCCTCCCTCCCTTTCCCCCACCATTTCCCCCCTTCTTCTCCCCCTTGTTCCTCCGTTAAGTTCCTCCTAATCCTCCTATACGTGCAAACATAATGATATTTGTCCTTCTCTGCCTGACTTATTTCCCTCAACATAACACCCTCAGGATCCATCCATGTTGCTACACAGGCCAGATTTCATTTTTTCTCATTGCCATGTAGTATTCCATCATATAGATAAACCACATCTTCTTGATCCATTCGTCCATTGATGGACACTTAGGCTCTTTCCATGTTTTGGCTATTGTTGAGAGTGCTGCTATGAACATTGGGGTACATGTGCTCCTATGCCTCAGCATTTCTGTATCCCTTGGGTAAATTCCTAGCAGTGCTATTGCTGGGTCATAGGGGAGTTCTATTGTTAGTTTCCTGAGGAACCTCCACACTGTTTTCCAGAGGGGCTGTACCAGTTTACATTCCCACCAACAGTGTAGGAGGGTGCCCGTTTCTCCACATCCTCGCCAGCATCTAGAGTTCTCTGATTTGCTCATTTTAGCCACTCTGACTGGCGTGAGGTGGTATCTCAGTGTGGTTTTGATTTGTATTTCCCTGATGAGGAGGGATGCTAAGCATCGTTTCATGCGTCTGTTGGCCATCTGGATGTCCTCTTTGGAAATGTCTGTTCATATCTTCTGCCCATTTCTTCACTGGGTTGTTTGTTTTTCGGCTGTGGAGTTTGGTGAGTTCCTTATAGATTTTGGATACTAACCCTTTATCTGATATGTCATTTGCAACTATCTTTTCCCATTCTGTCAGTTGCCTATTAGTTTTATGGATTGTTTCCTTTGCTGTGCAGAAGGTTTTAATCTTGATGAGGTCCCAATAGTTCATTTTTGTTCTTGATTCTTTTGCTTTTGGGAATGTGTCAAGTAAGAAGTTGCTGCGGTAGAGGTCAAGGAGGTTGTTTCCTGCTTTCTTCTCTAGGGTTTTGATGGTTTCCTGTCTCACGTTCAGGTCCTTAATCCATTTTGAGTATATTTTTGTGTATGGTGTGAGAAAATGATGTAGTTTCATTCTTCTGCATGTTGCTGTCCAGTTCTCCCAGCACCATCTGTTAAAGAGACTGTCTTTTTTCCATTGGATACTCTTTCCTGCTTTGTCAAAGATTAGTTGGCTGTATACTTTTGGGTCCACTTCTGAGTTCTCAGTTCTGTTCCGTTGGTCAATGTGTCTGTTTTTGTGCCAATACCATACTGTCTTGATGATGACAGCTTTGTAGTAGAGACTAAAATCTGGAATGGTGATACCTCCCGTTTTGATTTTATTCTTTAGTGTTACTTTGGCTATTCGGGGTCTTTTGTGGTTCCATACAAATTTTTGGATAGTTTGTCCTAGTTTTGAGAAGTATGCTAGTGCAATTTTGATTGGGATTGCATTGAGTGTGTAGATTGCTTTGGGTGGTAATGACATTTTGACTGCATTTATTCTTCCAATCCATGAGAATGGAATGTTTTTCCATTTCTTTGTGTCTTCTTCAATTTCCTTCATAAGTTTTCTTTAGTTTTCATCATACAGATCTCTTATATCCTTGGTTAGGTTTATTCCTAGGTATTTTATGGTTTTTTGTGCAATTGTGAATGGGATCAGTTTCTTGATTTCTCTTTCTGTTGCTTCATTATTGGTGTATAAAAATCCAAGGCTCAATATTTTAAATATGTCGTTTCTTTTCTAAGTTAGTACATAAATTTAATTCTACATTTTAAAAAATACTATATTTAAATTATTTGGGATATGGTTACATCATATAAATATTAGTGGGTTTTTTTTAAGTTTATTTTTGAGAGAGAGAATGTGTGTGCGCCAATGAAGAGTTGGTGAGGGGCAGAGAGAGAGGCAGAGAGAATCCCAAGCAGGCTGCATACTGTCAGCATGAAGCGCATTATGGGACTCAAACATGAAAACCATGAGATATGACCTGAGCTGAAATCCAACCCCTGGTTGGGTTTTGTTTTTTTTTCTCCCTCCTTAAGACTTCCTAGTGGTGCCTGGGAGGCTCAGTCGGTTAAGCGTCCGACTTCAGCTCAGGTCATGATCTCACAGCTCGTGGGTTCAAGCACCGCTTGGAGCTCTGTGCTGACAGCTCAAAGCCTGGAGCCTGCTTCAGATTCAGTGTCTTCCTCTCTCTCTCTCTGCCCCTCCCCTGCTCATGCTCTGTTTCTCTCTCTCTCTTAAAAATTTTTTTAAAAAATTAAAATACTTTTTAAAGAACAGTTTTGGGTTCATAGCAAAATTGAGAGGTTTCGCCTAAACCCACTGCCTCCACACCTGCACAGCCTCTCACATTATCAACCCTCCTCCCAGCGTGGTGCATTGTTACAGTCAATGAACCTGCTCTGACATCATAGTCCCCCAAAGTCCATAGTTTACGTTAGGGATCACTCCTGGTGTTCTGCATTCTGTGGGTTTGGACAAACGTGTAATGACAGGTTTCCAGCACTGTAGGACCCTGCAGAGTATTTCCACTGTGCTAAAAGTCCTCTTTGCTCTGCCTGGTCATCCCTTCTCCCACTTCTCTTCACCAACCCCTGATCTTTTTGCTATCTCCATTTGTGTTTTCCAGAATGTCCTATAATTGTGTTCTATCCAATATGCAACCTTTTCAGATTGACTTCTTTCACTTAGTCATGTGCATTTAAGGTTCCTCAGTGTCTTTCCATGGCTTGATAGCTCATTTCTTTTTAGTGCTGAATACTGAATTGTCTAGATGTACCACAGTGTATCCATTTACCTGCAGGAGAAAGTCTCACTTGCTTCCAAATGTTGGCAATTAACTACAAAGCTGTTGTAAATATCCACGTGTAGGCTTTTATGTGGACTTTTGGATAAATACCAAGGAGAGCAATTGCTGGATCTTTGGAACTTACGGTAAAGTCATGTATACCTTTCTCTTGTCTTGTTACGTTTTCTTGTCTTGTTACATTACTTGGTACTTCCAGTATTTTTGTAGATGTCCTTTATCAAATTGAGCAAATTTCCCTCCATTCCTCTTTTACTTAGAGTTCTTTATTGTGTGTGTATTTTTTTTAAGTTCATTTATTTATTTTGAGAGAGAGAGAGAATGAGCCGGGGAGAGGGACAGAGAATCACAAGCAGGCTTCGTGCTGTGAGCACAGAGCCAGATGCAGGCCTCAATCCCATACACTGAGATCATGACCTGAGCATAAGTCAGGAGTCAGACACTTAAGTAACTAAACCACACAGGCTCACCAGAGTTGTTTTTCTTTTTTTTCATAATGAAGGGATGTTGGATTTTATCAAATGCTTTTCTGCATTATCAGTATGATATGTGGTTTTTCTTCTTTAGCCTGTTGATGTGATGGATTATGTTAATTGATTTTTAAGTTTTGAATCAGGTTTGCAAATCTGGGATAAATCCCGCTTGGTTGTGGTATATAATCTTCTTATACACTGTTGGGTATGATTTGTTATATTTTGTGGAGGATTTTTTTTTTACGTCTATATTCATGAGACATATTGTGCATACTTTTCTGTAATGTCTTTATCTGAGATTAGGGTAATGCTGGCCTTAAAGATTGACTTAGGAAATATTCCCTCTGCTGCTATCTCTGGGAGAGATTGTGAGGAATTGGTAATTCTTCCTTCAGTATTTGTAAAAAAAAAAAAATTTTAATGTTTTATTTATTTTTGAGAGAGAGAGACACAGAATGTGACCAGGGGATAGGTAGAGAGAGAGGAAGACACAGAATCTGAAGCAGGCTCCAGGCTCTGAGCTGTCAGCACAGAGGATGATGCTGGGCTCAAACTCGTGAACCATGAGATCATGACCTGAGCTGAAGTGAGATGCTTAATTGACTGAGCCACCCAGGGACCCCAATTTCTTCTTTCAATATTTGGTAGAAGTCACCAGTGAACCCATCAGGGCCTGGTATTTTGTTTTTTGGAAGGTTATTAACTATTGATTCAATTTCCTTAATAGACATAACCTATTTGGACTCTCTGTTTTTTCTTGTGTGAGTTTTGGCAGATTGTGTCTTTCAAATGATAGGTGCATTCATCTCAGTTATTGAATTTGTGAGCATAGAGTAGTTGATAGTATTCTTTTAATATCCTTTTAATGTTCATAGGATCTGTAATTTGTGTCTTCTCTCTCTCTTTTTTTATGATTTTGGTTTTATTGATTTTCTCTGTTTTCTGTTTTCAATTTCATTAATTTCTGCTCTAATTCTTATTTCTTTTGTAGTGTTTACTGAGCACATAATTTGTTCTTTGTCTAGTTTCCTGAGGTGGAAATTTATATAATTAACTTTAGATGTTTCTTTTAAAAAATATTATTTCTATGTTATAAATTTACTGCTTAGCACTGCTTTGCTGAATTCTACAATTTTGCTAAGTTGCTTTTTAAAAATTTTTTATGTTTGTTTTTTGCTTTGAAGTTTTTCTTTTTTTCAGTGATCTCTACACCCAAAATGGGGCTCGAATTCGTGACCGCAAGATCAAGAGTCACATGCTCTTCCAACTGAGCCAGATAGGCACCCCCTATTTTGGTTTTTATTTAGTTCAAAATGTTTTGTTGGTTTGTTTGTTTTTTGTTTTTTTGTTTTTTGTTTTACTTTCTTGAGACTGCTTCATAGACCCACATGTTATTTAAAAATGGGTTGTTTAGGGGCGCCTGGGTGGCTTAGTCGGTTAAGCGTCCGACTTTCGCTTAGGTCATGATCTCGTGGTTCGTGGGTTCGAGCCCCGCGTCGGGCTCTGTGCTGACTGCCAGCTCAGAGCCTGGAGCCTGTTTCAGTCTGTGACTCCCTCTCTCTCTGACCCTCCCCTGCTCACGCTGTCTCTCTCTCTCTCCTAGAAATAAATAAAACATTAAAAAAAATTTTTTTTAAAAATTAAAAATAAAAATGGGTTGTTTAATCTTTACCTATTTGGGAATTTTCCAGTTATCTTTCTGTTATTTAACTTCTGGTTAATTACTTTGTGGTCTGAAGGCAGGCATTATATGATTTCCGTTCTTTTTAAATTTTGGTTAAGGTGTGTTTTATGGCCCAGAATACGATCTGTTATGGGGAATATGTATTCTGTTTTGGGATGAAGTAGTCTATAGATGTCAGTTATGTCCAGTTAATTGATAGAATTGTTCAGTTCACCTATGGCATTACTAATTGTCTGCCTATTGGATCTGTCCATTTTAAAAAATTTATTTATTATTTATTTTGAGAGAGACAGAGACAGCAGGGCACAAAGGAAGAGAGAGAGAATCTCAAGCAGGCTCCTCACTGGCAACACAGAGCCTGACATGGGGCTCAGAGTCACGAACCTACAAGATCATGATCTGAGCTGAAACCAAGAGTTGGATGCTCAACCAGCTGAGGCACCCAGGCGCCCAGGATCTGTCCATTTCTCATAGGGGGGTAGTGTGGTCTCCAACTTTGATAGTGGATTCATCTATTTCTCCTTGTCCTTCTTGTCGTTCTGTCAGGTTTTGCCTCATAACGTTTGGTGACAGACACGTACAGATTAAGGAATTTTATGTCTTCTTGGCAAATTAACCCGTTTATCATTTCATAATGCCTTCTTAATCCCTGGTAACTTTTCTTGCTTTGAAGTCTGCCCTGTCTGAAATTAATATAGGTACGCTTGCTCTCTTTCAACTAGTGTTACCATATTCTGCTAACGTATTGTATATTTTTCTCCATCCGTTTACTTTGAACATAAATGTGTCTTTATATTTACCATGGGTTTCTTATAGGCAGTCTATAGTTGAGTTTTATTTTTTGATCCACTCTGACAACCTCTGTCTTATAATTGGAGCATTCAGAAAAAAACACTCCTGTTCCAAGTGATTATGGATATAGAGGGATTCATAGGTACCGTATTTGTCACTGTGTGCTATTTGTTGTCCTTGTTCCCATTTTTGCATTCCTGGAATGCAAAGTCTTTCAGCCTGGAATAAACCTTTCTCTCCGCTCAGAATACTCAGCCACCTGCCTACCTCAGTCTATGAGCAGAGATGCTGTTGGTGAAATGAACCTACCAGGTGGGGTGCCATCACCTGGGAAGTGTTTAAAATCTCCTCATGCCCAGGCCTCACCCCAGAGATTTTGTGGAAATTAGTCTGTGGTGGCAGCGAAGTTCACCAGGTATTGGCTGGTGCACAGGGAGGCTGAGGCCCCTGACTAGACTAATTAGAAAGTACCTTCAGGAGATACGTGTAAACAGCATTGAGGTTCTACAGGATGGGGATCAAAGGGAATTGGTGCTGACTGTGGAGCCGCCACTAATGCCTACAGTCTTTGGGGTCCAGCGACAGTGTTTTATGCCGCTGGTTTCCAGGTCACATCATTTTATTTGCATGGATGGGAGCAGCTTTAATCCGAGAACTACTCCAAATTCTGATGTCCGAATTTGGGTCACGAGATTTCTTTCTTACAAGAATCTCCACGTCCTCTTTCTCTCTCCGCAAACAGGCTTTTCTCTGCCCAAACCAGAGCTGATCTACCCACTGGAGCAGAGCCCAGAGTTATGGACGCTGCAGAGAGGCCTCTTCCCTAGCGTCTGCCCAGGTAGGTGCCAGCAGCTGGCTAGGTGGGGTCCTGGCAGCTCACAGACGGGCACAGTGATTAGTGCCCCTGGAGTTTGTGGAAGTTTTACTGCCGTGGCCTCTCTAGAGGCTTAGGATGCATGGAGCCTTGTAACCTGAGATCCTTGTGCCCATACCCCACACCCCATCACAATGTCCAGCCCTCCTGGGGAGGTGTGGGGCCTGTTAGGTGACAAGTTCAGGCTCTTGGCTCAGGCTACGGGGACATAAAAACTAGCTGTGACACATGGCAGCCTTGGGCCCCAGAAAAGGTGCATCATCTCAAGGTGCCTTCATATAAGTTCAGCCACTGTAGACCCAGCTGCTCTAACAGGTGTATTCCAGAACCTTGGGGGCTCAGCATATGAAAAGTACTTCTCTCACCCAAGGACCGTGTGGGTCCGCCTGCAGCTGTGTGCCACACAGTTACTGAGGGACCCAGCTACCTCCTGTCGTCAACATGAGACACTTGGGTTGTCCTGGCATCTTCCAACTGGCAGAGAGGAAATGACAGAAGAAAGGGTGGTGTCGTGCCCACTATTTCTTCTCACATTCTGTATGGCCATGCTTAGGTGCCTGGCGCTAGGAAGTGAGGCTGTGTCCAAGTACAGGAGCCAGTGGTTTGGTGAGTGTAGTCTCCTCCACTCAGTCTGTTCCTGAAAACTGCTGGCAGTCATAGTCTCTACCTCATTGGGTTATTTGAGGATGAACCAGATTGTGTGTGACACTGGCTCACACTGGCCCTGACCCACAGTGTGTGAATGGTTCAGCAAGAGTAAGCTGTCAGTGCTACTCACATTACAATTTTAGTCCTCGTGAATAACGATCATAGTTCAAGTTTCCATCTGAGCTGCATGGAAACCAGCTGTCCTCTGCATGTCACTCTTTCCCACCTTCTCCATTCACCCATTCTCCAAGGGTCCATTAGACACTCAGAAGCACGCCCTGGCTCCGTATCTTCATACCCCTCCCGTTTGCTCCAACTTCAAGGTAACAGTTCACCTTCTGTTCCCCAAATTTGGGCTTCTGAGGCCCTGGGGATATCAGGTGGTGACTGGTGCCACCACAGAGCCGGGCTCTCCCCTCTGGTGATCCTTTGGTCTGTTCAGCCCCTCAGAGTCTGTTCCCAGCCTTCGCCCTTGCCCCTAGTCTCTCTGTGAATGTGTGAAAGGCACTTCACCTCAACGTGCCTAAGAGGGAGCTCGTAATTTTGCTCGCTACTCCCGCCTCCCGTGCAGGTCAGAAGGCTGGGTGCGACTTCAGATCACTCCTCAGACCTTCGTCTCCACCAGCCCCTACAGCCAGCCGTCCTGTCCGTTTCACACGAACGTCTCCACCGCCTCCCCTACTACTTGCAGCCCGTCCCCACACTTCTAAGGCCAGCTGGTCTCCCTGCGCCTGCTGCCTCTGATCTGCACTGTCCCCCACACTGGCTTCCCCAGCCACTCAGACCTTGTTTCAGACCTTCACCTCCCCTCCACCCCCCCGCCTGCCCTCCACTGATGTCTCCGCCTATTTTCGTGTTAAAAATCATCTGCTCTTCTGTTGCTTGATCTTGAACCCTTACACATGGATCTAAATCTCTCCTGTGTGCAGCTTTCCTTCTCACCCCTCAGTGGGGCCCTTGACCTCGACCCTGGCCAGTCCCTGCACTAGAGTCCAGATCACACCTTTTCAGGGAACTTGTTTCTTTACTTCTTTTCTGCCTCTTCTGCAAGTTTATCCAGTCTGTGCTCAACACAAAAATGTGCTCAATTGCCTCAAACTTGGGGAAAGTAAATTAAAAAGGCTTAATGCCTCTCCCGTGTCTGCACACTGGCGTCAACCCCACTTTCCCTGTATAACCAGTCTTCTTGGAAAAGTTGTCTCCTTGCGAGACACATCTACGTTTGTGTTCCATACCTCCTGTTTCCTATTATTTTCTTGCGCTTTTTGAATGAGGTGTAACTCATGCCGTGTTGTGCAAAAGCCTTAAGATGTCAGCTTGATGAATCTTTGTGTATGTATAAACCCACATAACCACCACTGTGCTAATATATACCATTGTGCCCCCTTATCTGCGGTTTCACTCTCTGCGGTTTCAGTTACCTGCGGGCAACTACGGTCCAAAAGCAGATGATCGTCCTTCTGATGTATGAGCAGAAGGTAGTAGTAGCCTGATGCTGTATCTCACGCCTGCGTCGTTCACCTCCCTTCATCCCCTCATGTAGGCATTTTATCATGTCACAAAACCCCAAGAAGGGTGAGTGCTGTACGATAAATTATTTCCGGATAGAGACCACATGTGTCTAACTTTTATTCCAGTGTTTGTTACAATTGCTCTATTTTATTCTTAGTTATTTTTGTTAATTTCTTATGTGTCAGATGAATAAATTAAACCTTAGGTAGTGTGTACAGGGACAAAACATAGCATATATAGGATTGATACTACTGGCGATTTCAGGGACTCACCGGGGGTCTTGATACAGATCCCCCACAGATAAGGGGGACGGCTGTGGAAGATTTCCAGCACCTTGTCAGGGTCTCATGCCCTCAACAGCACCTGCTGGGTGGCCCCTATCTAGCCCATCAGCGTAGATATGTTCTGACCGTTGAAGCCCACCATGTGCTGTCTGTATATCTGTCTACTCTTGGTCATCATCATGTCTGCGAGATTCTTTTCATGTGGTTGCATATAGTTGTTTTTCACTCTCAATACGGTGTAATGTCTCCTTGTGGGAAAAACTGCCATTCGTCTATCCCTTCCCCTCTTGACAGGCATTCCTGTTGTTTTCAGCGGACTGCTGCTGAGAACATCTTGTCATGTGTTTCGGTGCCGATAGGCACTGATTTCTGTGAGGAACAGACTCTGGTATGTTTCCGGGTCAGATTGGCTCGACTGGAGACTGCTAGGCAATTCTGCAGAATGCCCCCCCCCGCCCCGTCCCGTCATGTTCCCGCCATTCACACATGAAAGTGGCAGCATCATCCTCTTCGTCCTTTGAGGCTTTTGCGGGGGGGGGGGGGGTTTCCTCCGTGCGACAGCACAGAAAATGTTCTTGATACAGTCAGCACCTTGTTCCCAGTTCCCAAATACCGCAGCAACCATCGCGATAATGGGTAATGGCCCACAGTTTACCGAGTGCCCCTGTAGGGGCTGGCGCTGTGCCGAGCATTTTACAGGCCTGTTCTCCAACTTCAGGGTGGTCTGTGAGGCAGAAGAGGAGTCTCTCGGTGTTTCCGACCAGGAGGTTGAGAGGGGAACAGCTAAGTAGTTTGGGCAACACCTGATCACTTGGTACAGCCAGAACTTGAGCCAAGGGTTCTGGCTCCAGAGCGGACACTTAGCCTCCGTGCCGTGTGAGCTTCTAGTGTGGCACAGACTCTCCCGATTGTGTCGTGGGCATCCGGCCCTCTTGGGGTCTCTTCCTTAATCTCCCGGGACCTTCCTTGTGTCCTCGCTCTGGTGGCGACTTTAATGTTGGCTCATCAGGCCTCTCATGGACCGTGCTTTTTTTTTTTTTTTTTTGGTTTATTTATTTCGAGAGAGAGAGCATAAGTGGGGAAGGGGCAGAGAGAGAGGACAGATCTGAAGCAGGGTCTGCACTGATAGCAGAGGCCTCAAGGTGGGGCTCGAAGTCACAAAACAAGATCATGACCTGAGCGGAAGTCAGACACTTAACTAACTGAGCCACCCAGGTGACCCATGGATCATTCTTTTTATTCTTCAGTACTCTTCACGGTGAATACATACATTCTTACACTGTCAGTTGACATGCTTCCTAATTAGGTCCCAGATGTATAGTATGTGACTAACACATGATAAACAGAGCTAATGGGGGTTATGTTTTGCTCAGTGTCTGGCACCATACTGAACATGGTCCACATAGCGGACATGGGAAATGCAGGACTTCACTTCATCCTCACGGAGTCCTGCAGGCCAGACTTTTTGTTTTAGCTTTATTCTAGAGAAGACAGAATGAGGGCTGAAGGAATTTGAATGCCTTGTGAGGTGCCATAGAGCTAATACTGAGTCCTTGTGGGACTTGGGCCTAGGATTTCTGTGGTCCAAGACCATGATCTTTTTTTTTTTTAATGTTTTACTTATTTTTGAGAGAGAGAGAGAGCAAGAGACCAAGCATGAGCAGGGGAGGGGCAGAGAGAGAGGGAGACACAGAATCCGAAGCAGGCTCCAGGCTCTGAGCTATCAGCACAGAGCCTGACGTGAGGCTCAAACTCACAAACCATGAGATCATGACCTGAGCTGAAGTTGGACGCCCAACTGACTGAGTCACCCAGACTCTCCCCAAGACCATGATCTTAACTATAATACTGCTATGACCCTTAAGTTTTGTTCAGTGGACCTCAGGTACAAATTTCAGTTAATCCTAAACCTTGGTTTATGACACACTGTCATCACGGATTCATGACCTTGATTCAATGCCCTGATTAAGTGATGTATTAACTAATGAATTTGCTCATTCATTTCTTTTTGAAAACAACGTACTTTAACACCACTGAACTGAAGAATGAGACCAATGCTCATACCCGCTGCTGGTCGGTCTGTACTGCTCTAACAAGAATGCCACAGACCGGCAGCTTTGCCAACATTTATTATCCATGGTTCTGGAGGCTGGAAGTTTAAGATCCAGGTGCTGACGGATCTGGTTTATGGTGAGGGCCCTCTTCCTGGCCACTTGCAGATGGCGTTCTCTTGTGTCCTCACATGGCACAGAGAAGATGCAAATGCTCTTGTGTCTCCCCTTGTGAGGACACCAGTCCTGTGTCAGTGGCTGCACTCTGACGGGCCCATCTCTGGAGCACTGCACTTCCTGAGTCTCAGAAGACTCTGCCTCTGTTGATTCCGTTAACTGAGGCTGAAGTGGCATTCCTGCTTTCTCTGTCGGACAGCTTCTAGCTCTCCCTGTGCGGGAAGCCTCCTTGGCCGCTCCTGGCTGCTGCATGGGCTGCCTCAGGTGCCCCTCCGCTGGCCTCTTGTAGCACCTGCAGACGTTCTTGCTTGGGGCAAACCCGGCACACACACAACATTACTCTGTTTCCCTGTCCCTAGCTTCCAGACACCCTTTCCCCCATCTGTCCTCTCCCTCTGGGTTTCCCCTCAAAGGTTTCAAGAGTTGAAGGTCCAAAAAGAAGAATTGCAAACTGGGTTTCAGAGATTTGAAAACACATCAGGCACAGAACCACTGTTTCCCTTTCCTTGTTCCCACTGAAATGGCAATTTTGATTTTCTGTACTGCCATCTCTAATAGGCCTTTCTGTATATTGTATTCCCTTCAGGTGACAAAACAAAACCTGAGACCACTGAGCCTTCCCCTTCTCACCTTGCCTTGTCTGAGGACATCTCACCACAGGAGCGACTGACTCCGCGAGCCAGGAGTCAGGGTAGGCCGTCAGATACGCTGGAAGGCCTACTGGAACCAGGGATGGACCCCCTGATAGAGAAGCTCCCTGAGAGCATGAAGCCCGAACGTAATGGTTTAGGGACAGATGATGGTTTACACTCAAGGATTGTACAGGGGCTGATCCCTGCAGGACATGCCCTCCGTGAATATGACTCACAGTTACCACTGAAAGATCCCTCGATTCATGAAGGAAAGCGTCCCTATAAGTGTGCAGAATGCGGGAAGGTGTTTACCAAGAACTACTTTCTTATTCGACATGAGCGGGTTCACACTGGCGTGAAGTCCTATGAATGCACCGAGTGCGGCAAAACTTTTAGCAAGAGCACACACCTCCTGCAGCACCACATGATCCACACCGGGGAGAGGCCCTACGAGTGCATGGAGTGCGGGAAGGCCTTCAACCGCAGGTCACACCTCACAAGGCACCAGCGGATTCACACCGGGGAGAAGCCTTATAAGTGCAGCGAGTGTGGAAAGGCCTTCACCCACCGCTCCAATTTAGTCTTGCATAACAGAAGCCACACTGGAGAAAAACCCTTTGTGTGCAAAGAATGTGGGAAAGCCTTCCGAGATAAGACAGGCTTCCTTCGACACTACATCATCCACACAGGAGAGAAGCCCTTTGAGTGCATGGAGTGCGGGAAGGCCTTCAACCGCAGGTCACACCTCACATGGCACCAGCAGATTCACACTGGAGTGAGACCCTTTGAATGCAACGAATGTGGGAAAGCCTTTTGCGACAGCACAGACCTCATTCAGCACTATGTCATCCACACGGGGGAGAAGCCATACAAGTGCCTCGAGTGTGGGAAGGCCTTCTACCGCCGGTCACACCTCAAGCAGCACCAGCGGAGTCACACCGGGGAGAAGCCGTATGTGTGCAGTGAGTGCGGAAAAGCCTTCACCCACTGCTCCACTTTCATCTTGCACAAAAGGGCCCACACCGGAGAAAAACCCTATGAGTGCAAAGAGTGTGGGAAAGCCTTTAGCAACCGGTCAGACCTCATCCGACACTTCAGCATCCACACTGAGGAGAAGCCCTATGAGTGCATGGAGTGCGGGAAGGCCTTCAACCGCCGCTCATACCTCACGAGACACCAGCGGATTCACAGTGGAGAGAAGCCCTATGAGTGCATGCAATGCGGCAAATCCTTCGGTCAGAGGGCAAACCTCATTCGACACACTATCATCCACACGGGGGAGAAGCCCTATGAATGCAGTGAGTGTGGAAAGGCCTTCACCTACTGCTACACTTTCATTTTGCACAAAAGGGCGCACATTGGAGAAAAGCCTTTTGAGTGCAAACAATGTGGGAAAGCCTTCAGCACTAGGAAAGACCTCATCCGACACATCAGCATCCACGCTGGAGAGAAGCCCTACGACTGCATGGAGTGTGGGAAGGCCTTCAACCGCCGCTCGGGGCTCACGAGGCACCAGCGGATTCACAGTGGAGAGAAGCCCTATGAGTGTGACGAGTGTGGGAAATCCTTCTGCTGGAGCACAAGCCTCATCCGACACTCTGTCATACACACTGGGGAGAAGCCCTATGAGTGCAGTGAGTGCGGAAAGACCTTCAGTCGCAGCTCCTCCCTCACTCAGCATCGGAGGATTCATACTGGGAGACACTCTGTCAGTGTCAGTGCCACAGAAGTGGGGAGACCCTTCATGAATGGGCAGTCCTCTGTCACCCTCTAAGCGCTCCACTGGGAAAAGACTTTGAATGTAGCCACTGAGGAAACCTCTTACTCAGAATCTGATCGTTCATACCAAAGAGAAACCCTTCCGTTGCAGGTGATCTGTTGTCATCTGAGGAGTCATACTGCAAATTCACCCAGCCTAGAGCCTTATTCTTCAACTGAGAACTCATCTAGGAGTGTGATCCAGTCATTCTCATGCACCTAGCATAGCCGTTGGCCCCATCTTTCTCCTCAGTTTACACTGCGAAATTGTCTCAGGGATATTTAAACAAAGGAGGAGGTGATATAAAAGAGTAACAGAAGCACAGTTTCTTTCAGACTTCTGTGACAAGCCTGTGGCAGTTTTTGTTCCTTATCTTATTTGGGGAGGGGGAGGTGTTTCAGACATCAGAGAGCCTTGTCCACTTTGCTTTGTACATACCTTTACTGCTGTCCATTGTCAGGGCAGTTGGGACACTTGAGGGTGTGTTGAAAACCTTTATTTTTATATTTTTTTCACACTCACTAAGTTGGCTTTATTCAACTGTCACCCATAGGACAGGGTGCCTCCTGGGCCCCACAGTCCCTTGAAAACCTTTATTGAAGGCCTTTGCTCTACAGCATTATCCCTGCCTTTGAGAAGCATAAGTCTTAATGAGAAATATGAAAACTTGATTTATGAAAGACTTATATTTCAGGAGATAAAGATGTATGAATGGGCCCACAGTAGCACACTCTTATGACTTTCTTTTTTTAAACAAAATAGTTTTTTTTTTGCAGGTGTACTTAACCATCCACTTATACTTGCTTTTGATCTACTTGTTTATTGTGGGTTTTTTTTTCCTGTATTTTTCTTTGCAACAAGGATGCAGTGTAGCTGTGTGACCTTCTCAGATGAATCCTCTGATTGTGGTTCCTGAGCTTCTCCAGTCCTCCCTAGAGAGGGTTCTCCCACTATCTACCTCACTGGTTTTCTGTGGGTTGAATTAGAGCCAAAACAAAATAAAACACATAGCTAAATTAAGCTAAAAAAAATAAATAACTCGAAAAAGCAGAGAGAAAGAATCCCATTTTTACTCTTACAAAAGGTTGTGTGAGGATTCACTGTTGAGGAAATTGACTAGAATTAACAGATGAAATGGGCATGTACACATGCAAGTGTGTGAATTTCACAGTTGTTTCCGTGGTCTTGGTTCTGGTGTAACTAACAACTAGTACCTTTATCAGCGTCTTTTGGAATTCCTTCTTTGTTTTTTTTGTGGGGGTTTTGTTTTGTTTTGTTTTGTTTTGAGCTACATGTGATAGTATTACCTCACATTAAGAAATATGCTGTACAGAAAGATGTAAAAATAATCACATATTAAAAAAAATAATAATCACGCATTCACTTTGAACCCTCCGTAGGGCCTACTAAATAACCACAGGTGTACTTTTGTATTGCCATTGTAGGCCAAGTCATTTTTGTTACATTGATTCATGGCATTATTATGAAGGCACCTCTTAATCCTTTTTGAGTCATGCCTAAGAAGTTTTAAGGAAGCTCTCTGTCCTGTATACTTTCTCCTGTGTTTTCTCCTAAAAGTTTCATAGTTTTACCTTTTGCATATAAATCTCTAATCCATGGTGAGTTAATTTTTGTATTTCCATGTGAGGTTTAGGTTGAGTTTCTTCCTTGAATTTTTGCTTAAGGGTGTTCAGCTGACTGGCACCGTTGGTTGAAAACTAGACTACAGTATTATGCCTCCCCTGAATTATGTTTACTCCTTAGTCAAAAATCAGTTGGGCATATTTATGTTGGTCTATTTCTGAGTCTCTATATTATCTCATTGATTTGTATGTCTAAACTTCTGCCAGTACCAAACTATCTTGATTACTGTAGCTTTCAGTAAATCTTAAAATTGAGTGAAGTGATTTCTCTCCCTTTATTCTTTTAAAAAATTGATTTAGCTTTCCATATCAAATTTTTTTCCTTTGGCTTTCTATATACACTTTATCATGTGCTTGTCTGTATATGAAAATATCTTGCTGGGAATTTGATAGACATTTCATTAGTCTATGGATCATTTTGGTGAGATTTGGCATCTTTATTATTTTGACTCAGGGTCCATGAACATGGTATATCTCTTCATTTATTTAGATCCCTTTGGTTTATTTCAAGTGTTTTTGTAATCTTCCACTTGTAGATCCTGAACGTACTTTGTTAGATTTTTATTTAGGCACTTTTTTTTTGGAGTCACTGTATGTTATATAGAGGTTTTAATTCCAGTTTGCCCATGATCATTACTGTTACAGAGAAATATGATTAATTTTGATATATGGACCTTGCCTCCTGCAACCTTGCTGAATACTTATTCTAGCAGATTTTTTTGTAGATTCCTCAGGATTTTCTTCATAAACAATAATGCTATCAGCACATAATAAACATCTTTTGTCTTCTTCCTGATCTGTATCCCTTTCATTTCCTTTTCCTGTCTTTATTGTACTAGCTAGAACTTGCAGTGCAATGTTGAGTAAAAGAGTGAAAGAGGACATACTTGCCTAGTTTGTAAGGTTAAGAAGAAAACATTCAGTGTTGGTTATTAAATAATGATGATAGCTGTGGGTTTTCATTGTTTTATTTTTAATTTTAATTCCAGTGCACTTAACAGAGCATTATATTTGTTTCAGGTGTACAATATAGTGACTCAACAGTTCCATATATTACTCTTTGCTCATCGAGATCAGTGTACTCTTAATCCCCTTCACCTAATTCATTCATCCTCCCCAACCACTTTTGCTCTGTTAACTATCTTTTTGTTGTCTATAATTAAGAGTCTATTTTTCAGTTTCTTTTATATATATAAATATTCACTTTAGTTCAGTTTAAATATTTCTTGATTATTTTGGAGACTTCCTCTGTGACCGATGGATTATTTAGAAGGGTGCTCTTTGATACCCAAGTGTTCGGAATATTTTGTTATTTTTCTCTTATTTCTAGTTTCAGATAGTCTGAGTGATTTCAAAACGTTTATATTTATTGAGGTGTATTTTATGACCCACAAACAGATGAGCCATAAATGATATTCTTGTTAAATGTTCCATGGGTTCTTGAAAAAGATAAATATATTCTGTTGTTGTTGGGTAGAGTGTTCTATGAATGTGAAATTCTGCTGGTCTCTGGTGTTACTTAGATTTTCTGTATCCTTGCTGATTTTGTGCCTAGTGTTTCTATCAGTCACTGAACAAGGAGAGTCAAAATCCTCAACTATAATTGTGGAATTGTCTATTTCTTTTTATTCTGTTACCTTTTGCTTTCTGTATTTGAATGTTTTCTTGTTTGGTGCATTTACATTTATTATTGCTCTATCTTTTTTGGTGTGTTGACCCTTGGATCATTATGTAACTAATATCCCTCTTTGTCCCTGTTGATTTCATACCTCTGAAGTATACTTTGTCTGATATTAATATAGCCACTGCTGTATTTTTATTACTATTTATATGGTTTATATTTGTCCATCTCTTTTATTTTAACCTACCTATATTGTTATATCTAAGGTAAGTTTTTTATGGGTGGCATACAGAGGAGTCTTGTGCTTTTTTTCCCCTACCACTTGGACAGTGTATCTTTTAATTGGTATATTATACCGTTTATACTTGAAGTCGTCACTGACATGTTGGGACTGAATAATGTCATTTTTCTTCTTTGATTTTTAGTTTTTCCTGTTTCTTCTACCTGTTTTGCTGTTTTGGTTTTTGTAGGGGTAGGCTAAGGGGAATTTCTTGCCTTCTTTTAGGTCCTTGGATGTATTTTAGAATTCAGCTTTGATTCATGTATAGTGTTTTGGGTGCATATTCCTTTTTTCCTTTTTATTTGTAAGTGGTTACTCTAGGTATTAAAATGTACATGCGCAATTTATCACAGTCTCCTTTCAACAACATTTACCAATTAAGTGCAATATAGAAACCTTACTTCTGTTAGGTCACTTTGCATTCACTATTCTTTTTATTGTCTGGGGCGTTTACTCGTCCTGTGTTGAGGACTTTATTGAATGATGTTATAATTTTTGTTTCAGTTGTCAAACATTTTAATTTTTAAAAGTTTTTTAATTTTAATTTTTAAAATTAATTCATTTATTATTTCTGACAGGGAGTGCACATGCTCATGCACAAGTGGGGGAGGGGCAGAGAGAGACAGGGAGACAGAATGTGAAGAAGGCTCCAGTCTCTGAGCTGTCAGCACAAAGCCCAAGGTGAGGCTCGAACTCCTGAACTGTGAGATGATGACCTGAGCCAAAGTCCAATGCTCAACCGACAGCCACCCAGGGACACCTGTCAAACACTTAAAAAAAAATTTTTTTTTACATTTATTTATTTTTGAGAGACAGAGACAGACAGACTACAAGTCGAGGAGGGGCAGAGAGAGAGGGAGACACAGAATCTAAAGTAGGCTCTAGGCTCCAAGCTGTCAGCACAGAGCAAGATGCAGGGCTTGAACCCTCGGGTCATTAGATCATGACCTGAGCTGAAGTTGGATGTTCAACAGACTGAGCCACCCAGGCGCCCTGAGTCAAACATTTTTAAAAGCTCATGAGAAGGGTAGTCAATTTACCTCCATTTCTTACGCTTTCATTAAAGTTTCAAGCCTCTGTTTGCTATCATTTCCTTTCTGTTTGAGATTTTCCTGTAGCCATTCTTTCAGGGTAGGTCTCTTGGTGACAAATGTTTTTGGTTTTCTTTCTTCTGAGAATGGCTTTATTTCCTCATCCTTGAAGGAAATTTTGATGTAATACAGGGTTAATGGTTGGCAGTTCTCTCTTAGTACTTGAAAAGTGTTACATCACTGCCTTCAAGCCTCCGTGGTTTCAGGTGAGAAATCTGCCATTCAAACCATTGTTCCCCTACAGAGAATATGTCATTTCCCTCTCGTTGCTTTTAAAATGTTTATCTTTAATTTTCAGATATTTAATTATTCTGTCCTGGTGTAGAAATTTTTTGTTCATCCTGTTGAAGGTTTCTTTAGGTTTTTGGCAGGTGTACGCCTTTTACCAATTTGGGGGAATTTTCAACCTTTATTTCTTCCAGTATTATATTTACATCCACTCTCTTTCTCCCTCCTTTCTGAGACGCAGTAACATGAATGTTAGATCTTTTTTTCATTACCCCACAGGTCCCTGAGGCTCTGCTGTTTTTAAATTTGTTTTATCCAGTCTGTTTTATGTCTGTTCAGCTTGAGTAATTTGTCAACCCGTCTTTGGGGAGGGGGCAGGGAATGAAGTGCCAACCACCCTCATTGCTTCTGGATGCGGTTGGAATATTATTCTCCCCCCCCCCCCAAGCTTGTATAACACTATCCTGGGAGTGGAAGCGGAACCCCACCTTGGATCACCTCCTTCAGCCCTGGTACTAGGTGAGGGTGTGCATTTAGCTCTCCCACCTGCACAGGGAAGGAGCCTGTGGGCTTTTTTATCAGGTTGCCTGATGGAGGGGCAGAGAAGGGAGCAGTGGGATGGAAGGTGGGCAACAATCAGACATCAAAGTGGGATCAGACCCTTATCCCTTTGGTTGGTTGGTTGGTTAATAGGAAAACCCCAGGCCTTGGTTGCAGATGGGTCACCTTCCTCTTTAGGGGAGTCAGCTGCAAAGGAACTGATGATATGTCACATCTCACCTAGAGGAGCCCCGAAGGACACTGGTGTGGAGAAGTCCTCTCTTTGGCCAGATCTTGGACCAGTACAATGGAGCATCACTTTTGCAT